CCCGCCGCCGGGGATGAGGCCGGAAGCCCCGCGCCCAGCGAACGCGCGCGCCCAGAAAGACCGCGTTCCGTTCCCTCAGTGGCTCCTCGCTGCGCCCTGGCTACTGAGGCTCCACCGGGTGGTGTGGCTCCCAGAGCTCGGGGTCTCCGGTCGGGCGTCCTCCACTTGGAATAAGGGAGCTTTGGTCACGTGGCACCCTGAGGTATGCTGGAAAGTGAGGGTCCTACCCAGGATTGGCTTAGCTCCTTGTTAAAGGCGGAGAAGAGCCCTTCTTTCAGATTCCATAAAGCTCAGTCAGCTCGCAAAGAGAACTATTCTTTTAGATGCTCTCAAATACTTTTACTAAGTTACCTGACGATATATATCATTTCGTATAGCGTTTCAGAAAGAAATGAGTCTGTGCACAGGTGAAAAGATGTTGTTGCTCCTCAGATATTTGCACCCTGAAACATAAGTCAGTTTTGGACTTGGTTAAGAATACCAAAAAGGCCTTGTTAAACAACAAAAATTCAGCCCAGTACATTGTAAAGGTCTGCTGGCTTTATCCACCGATTTTTTTTTTTTTTAAGATTTTTATTTATTTATTTGACAGAGATCACAAGTAGGCTGAGAGGCAGGCAGAGAGAGAGGTGGAAGCAGGCTCCCCGCTGAGCAGAGAGCCCGATGCGGGGCTCGATCCCAGGACCCTGGGATCATGACCTGAGCCGAAGGCAGAGGCTTTAACCCACTGAGCCACCCAGGCGCCCCGATATCCACCGATTTCTTAATTGGGCAGCCTCCCATCTAGCAAGTAGAGGGCAGCTCCAAAGCGCTACAGAGAGGGAAATGTTTTTAAAGGTAGGGCAAGAATACCATAAACAGAAAAAGGAGTATGTTAGATGTTAGATGAGGAGTATGTTAGTATGTTCCCCCTTATTGGGGGGAGAAATAGAGTCTTTTTTTTTTTTTTTTTAGATTTTATTTATTCATTTGACAGACAGAGATCACAAGTAGGCAGAGAGGCAGGCAGAGAGAGAGGGGGAAGCAGGCTCCCCGCTGAGCAGAGAGCCCAACGCGGGGCTCGATCCCAGGATCCTGAGATCATGACCCGAGTGGAAGGCAGAGGCCTTAACCCACTGAGCCACCCAGGCGCCCCCCCAAAATAGAGTCTTACTATGAAAATCCCTCATCTTTCTTTAGGGGATGGAAAGGGCCCATCCCTGTGGCAAACTACCTTTTTGGTGCTGACCAGAAAATCCCTGACTGAGCTTGAAAACGAAATTTCTGGGGGAGGTTGGAAATGCATTGAGCTTAGGTATTCCGCCCTGGTCTGGTGACCTGATGGAGAAAAAGCGGCTCCATTTGTGGCCTGTGGTTTCCTCTTCCACACCCCATACAGTACATGACATTGAAGAAGGGCAAGGGATGGTAGGCCACCCAAAATGAAGTGGCCAATGACGCTGTCAGCCTCTGTTGCCACACTAAACACCCTTTCGCCTGTACAGTGATTGTGTCGCATCTATCAAAGAACACTTTTATCCACATATTTTTACTCCATATTCTCAGATGTACTTAATTCCTTTTAGGAGTCTGACGTCATCCCAAACATACTGCAGCTTAACTGATGCTATTTTTGGTACCGAACATGTCTTGCCATTTTCAGTTGGAGCAAGTGTGCAAAGGGAGAGTCTGAACCCTGAAATGAAGGGTTGTCTGAACCCAATGATCTCACCTTTCTTTTTTTAAGATTTTATTTATTCACTTGATAGAGATCACAAGTAGGCAGAGAGGCAGACAGAGAGAGGAAGGGAAGCAGGCTCCCTGCTGAGCAGAGATCCGGACGTGGGGCTCAATCCCAGGACCGTGGGATCATGACCTGAGCGGAAGGCATAGGCCTTAACCCACTGAACCACCCCATGATCTCACCTTGCCGGGAAGTGATTCTTCTTTCTTCAGGCACTGGTAATACTATTGCTTTAGTACTTGAAATTATCTCAGAATAAAACAGCAGTGAGATACAGACTTCAGCTGTTTAGAGACAGTGGCAGAAATAGTTATGGGGAATCCCACATTCCATCTCCCTACACATCGGTAAAAGCTAAGAAACGGTTATAACCTCTGAGAACTTTGAGAAGAAGGTTCTAAGAAGTCTGGAAAAGATAGACTCAAACAGAGCATGTGACTGCTATACCAATGTGCTTGATCATTCTGAAGCTTTTATCTCCAAAATATGGTTTTTTCATTCCTGAAAACATTGAGAAATACTGCTGTCAATCAACCAGGGCGCCTGGGTGGCTCAGTGGGTGAAGGGTCCAGCTCTGGATTTTGGCTCAAGTCAGTCTGACTTCTGATGCTTGGCATAGAATAAAGCTTTGCATAACTCTCACTTTGTCTCAGTCTCGTTCCCCTGGCCAGTCAGTCTGACTTCTAATGCTTGGCATAGAATAAAGCTTTGCATAACTTTCACTTTGTCTCAGTCTCATTCCTTTGATAACGGACCCCAACACTCTGATGCTTTTTACTAGAAAAGGGGTGGGGGGTACAGCCAAGGAATCACATTCTTGGCTGACATCCCCTGTTTGTCTTTGATTTGCAATCCACTTAGCATGGACCTACAGACTCCAGTTCTCATATTTATTTTCCTTCCTATTTCTGAGTACATCCCTTATTCATACCCAACCCAGGGATGGTCGGGAAACCAACCTGTTAACAAAAATCCTTCCTAACCAGCCTCTGTCATCTTGCTTCCTGTGCACTAAGTCAATTTTTTTTTTTAAGTAGGCTCCACACTCAATGTGGGGCTTGAACTCTGAGATCAAGAATCATATGCTCTACCAACTGAACCAGGCAGGCCTCCCTGCTTAGTCACTATTATTTGAATTAGAATCAGGGGTCATATTAAATATCCCATCCTCATCATGAACTGGAAACATTTCACAAGTATTATACCTGAAAACACTTGAAAGACTCCACAGAACATACTCATGGGAGGTTTTCTTAAAAGCGAAGGATGTAACATACCAAGAGAAGGAAATGCAGGGCCATGCTGGGGGTCGAACATCCACGCAGTTTCCCAGATTTTTATTCACACACTCTTGTGATTCACTCCCAGATTACACCACAAATATGTGAGTGATGAACACTGGCTTCCAGAGTCAGAAGACTCCAGTAGGAGTTTTTATGCCTCTCTGGTAACACAGTCAAGCCAAACTAACCATTATGCCATTTGGAAACCATCAGCAACGGAACCGGGACAAGGTGTGGTCGGGAAATTTTTGGATATTAAACAACATGGCCCTTATCTTAGCAGGTGTCTTAGTGGCAAAGACAGATACTCAGAAGTCCCTAGAAATAAAGCTGGAACTTTTTCAGTCCAATTTTAAACATTCTTAGATGAAACAAATGCACAATATATCAGAACGTGGGGAATTCTGCTAACATAGTAATTACAGGGAAACTTTAAAAATGATGGTATTAGAAAGGAGTTCTCATATAAATAACATAGTCCACCTTAAGAAAATAGGAAAAAGGCAAATTAAATCCTCTAGGCAACCTTATAATACTCCACTTTCTCCTCATGCCTTGGGGGTAGTCCTGCCTCAGTGGCAGCATAAATTGGCAACTCAGGAAAGCTGTTTCTATACGAGTCACCAAGAACATTGAATAAGTTGGGACGCCTGTGTGACTCGGTCAGTTGAGCATCTGCCTTCAGCTCAGGTGGGGATTCCAGGGTCCTAGGATCAAGTCCCTCATCGGTCTCCTGGCTCAGCAGGGAACCTGCCTCTCCCTCTGCCTGCCACTCTCTTGCTTTGTGCTCTTTCTCTGACAAATAAATAAATAAAACCTTAAAAAAAAAAAGAAGAAGAATGTTGGATAAGTCACAAAAGCCACATCCCTGGAATCCCAGATCTCCCATCTCAATTCACTTTCCTGCCACCACAGCAACAGTTCTGACCTGAGGCATCTATGGCCTAAGGGAATCCACGAAATATTTGGGTTATTTGTCCTTCAAGGGATCTTGGCCAGAGGAGACAGCTCTGGAAGTCCTGAAAATTTCTATATCTTCTGCTTAGCCACAATACGGGAGTACCATGAGCAGGCGCCTGTCGTGGGGAGCCCTCCCAGGGTGCTGTAACCACTCTGACTCCGTGTTAATCGCGCTTTGTTCCTGTGTCCATTATAGCCCCAACCCAGCTCCTGTAGGTCTTCCCACCAGTGACTCCCACCTACTGAATTCTGAACTCAGACTTCTTTTTTTTTTTCAAAGATTTTTTATTTTATTTATTTGACAGACAGAGATCACAAGTAGGCAGAGAAGCAGACAGATAGAGAGAGAGGTGGCAGCAGGCTCCCTGCAGAGCACAGAGCCCGATGTGGGGCTCGATCCCAGGACACTAGGACCATGACCTGAGCCGAAGGCAGAGGCTTTAACCCACTGAGCCACCCAGGTGCCCCTGAACTCAGACTTCTTGCCAGGTACCAGAGGCCATACTCCTCTTAATAGTGTCTGGGGATATGAAACATTCCATGGGGACAAGAGACCAAACTCACTCTGCTCTCAGATGCACTGGAGGTTGTCACAACCCCCTTCCTACGGTTACTTAGGGACTCACGAATTGAAGGCTGCCATGACAGGTCTCCCAAAGCTCCTAAGGCTTTCCTAGAAGACTTTGGGTGGCAACACAAATTAGGCCAAACCTGGCATGACAGTTTCTCTCTGCCATCATCGTGTCCCGAGACATGGAAAACTGGGGCCTCCCATAAACTTTATCCTTTCATGTTGGTAGAACACAGGTGTGTCCTCAACACACTCCACACAATGAGCAGAACCCTCCAGATTAAAAGCAGCTCAAAGTGGGGCGGCGCCTGGACGGCTCAGTCAATTAAGTGTCTGCCTTCGGCTCAGGTCATGATCCCAGGATCCTGGGATCGAGCTCCATGTTGGGCTCCCTGCTCAGCGGAAAGCCTGCTACTCCCTCTCGCTCTGCCCCCCCCACCCCACTCAGACTCTCTCTCTCTAATAAATAAATAAAATCTTGAAAAAAATAAAAATAGCTCAAGAATAAGCCCTTTATTATTGCACTCACACACGAGTGATGTGAGGTATGTGCTTCCAGGGCTGAAGGCCATGAGACCACACACATCCACAGTGAGCATCACATGAGATGAGAAAGTCCATGAGGATAAATCTTTGCAAGCTACCTGGAAAACCCATCTTGTGTGCTGATTTTTTCCATGCCTAACCCAGACAAAAGTAAGGAAATGAGCCCCCCCATGGACCATGGAGGCCGATCATGACTCCTTCTAGGGACTGTGGAGACAGCACAGGTCCTCCTGCCTAAGCATGCTGGAGTGACCGACACGCACCGCAGGATTCGGGCAGACGGTAGTAGTGGGATGGCTTTTAGCACTGACAAAGGGCCTTGGCAATTTACAATACGCACACAGGTCCTGATATCACTGATGTACCAGGCACTTACAAGGAACCTCCCCAGCGCAGAGGTTCATATGTGTGAGGTACCACTTCTGAACGATGGTGCCCTCACAAAGCCTACTCTCGCAGCTCCTCTCTGGCGAGAGCTGCTACACTGAACAAGGAGATGGCACATTCCCTGTACTGCTGAGGCCTTTGTCTGGTGTGGATTTTCCAGGGCTGGATAAAGTTTGGTCCTTGGTAAAGGCTGTCCTAGGTCTGCTGCCAGGAATTCGCAAATGGATAGTAAGTTGGGGTAATGGCTAAAGGATTTCCCGCAACTGCTATGGTATTAAGGCTTTTCTCCAGTATGAATCTTCTGATGGAGAACAAGTGTGTGTTTGCGGTTAAACTCTTTCCCGCATTTGCTGCACACGTAGGGCCGTTCTCCAGTATGAACTTTCCAGTGCCGAATGAGATTTGGCCTTTGGGTAAAGGCTTTCCTACATCTGCTGCACTCATAAGGATTCTCTCCAGAGTGAACCTTCTGGTGCTGAATGAGTTTAGAGATGCAGCTAAAGGCTTTCCCACATCGGCTGCACTCATAATCACTGCTGTGAATTCTCCAGTGTACATTAAGGTGGGAACTTTGGCTAAAGGCCTTCCCACATTTGCTGCACTCATAAGGCCTTTCTCCAGTGTGAGTCCTTTGGTGCAGAACAAGTGTGTGTTTGCGGCTGAACTCTTTCCCACATGTACTGCATACATAAGGCCTTGCCCCTGTGTGCACTTCTTGGTGTCTAATGAGGTTGGACTTACTACTAAAGAATTTTCCACAATTACTGCACTGGTCGAGTCTTTCACCAGTGTGAACTCGCCTGTGTTCAATCAGGCCAGAGACCTGTCTAAAGAATTTCCCACATTCACTGCACTCATAAGGCCTTTCTCCAGTGTGTATGGTCTCATGTTTAAAAAGGTCACAGCTTTGGCTAAAGAATTTCCCACATTTGCTGCACTCATAAGGTCTTTCTCCAGTATGGATTCTCTGGTGCCGAGTAAGCGTGTCTTTGCGGGTAAACAATTTCCCACATTCGAAGCACCTGTGATGCTGCTGTCCAGGGTGAAGGGCTCCCCCAGGCCTCGTCCTCTTGTGGGGCCTCGTCCTAATATGGGAGACCTGGTGCTGAAGAAGGTCTGAGGTGGCTGGAAAGTCCCTTCTACCCTCACTGTGTGTACAGGTCTTCTCTGGCACATAGAATCCACAGCTTTTCACAGAGCCACTGTCCTCGTCTCTTCTGAAGGGTTTCTCTGCAGTGTGGTGCTGATGGACGTTTGCCCTGAGCCCAGGAGGCTTCCAACAGGCCCCACCACTGTGTGGTTCCAGCCTGGCTTCCTCCCTCTGGTATTCAGTCGGGTATAAGATTTCTTTCAATATTGAGCCAGATACATCCCAGTGATGGAGCTTCAGACCTGCCACTGGAGTCCTGACTGGTGACACTCCTTCTAAAGAAACACTCTGCTCAGGGGACATGGCCTCATCCTCCACCGCAGACCAACCACCTGAAAGCAGAGAAGTACTGCTGACATGCATGTCACACTTACTGGGAGGGGCGACCGCATTGTTAATATGTATGCGACACACCCAGGAGTACCTCAGTGGGGCCGTTTATAGGACAAGAAAGGTGGGGAAGGTTGAGGAATGGGTTGCAATGCAGAACTGAGTCTCCAAAGGTCAATGAATGAAGGGAGCCTTCTGAGGACAAGGATATGTGGACAGAGAACAGCAAGTGGCTTCAGTAGGTCTCTGGCTGTGGAGATGGGAGAGTGCTATGCAGAAGGGCACGCGCAAGCCCAGGAAGACCCACTAACAAGTGTGTAGCTGGGGCTCAAGGGTTATTTATTTATTTATTTTTCTTTATTTAAAGATTTTTATTTATTTATTTGACAGACAGATCACAAGTAGGCAGAGAGGCAGCAGAGAGAGAGAGAGAGGAGGAAGCAGGCTCCCTGCTGGGCAGAGAGCCCGATGCGGGGCTCAATCCCAGAACCCTGGGATCATGACCAGAGCTGAAGGCAGAGGCTTTAACCACTGAGCAACCCAGGCGCCCCTCAAGGGTCATTTAAGGGGGTGTGCACATCTCATGACACGTTAAATGTAGGCCAATGTGGCAGAACAATGCAATCCCAGCGGCGGGTGGGGGTGGCCTGGATGCCGGGCAGATGGAACACGGCAGGGGCCTAGAAGCAGAGAGGAGATAAGCTGCAGTATCAAGAATAGGGAAGGATGGGTAGAAATACAGTGTAGCCAGCAGCCTTGAAGCCAAACATTGGTATGAAAAGTTAGTACTGCTAGTTTTGAATCCAACCTTGATATCATGCCCTTCCCTCGCATCCACTCACCAGGTCCAGGTCCCTTCTGAGTCTTCCTTTCTGTGGCTGGAGCCATATCCACCTGGTCAGCTATCTGGGGATCTGCCCTCTGCTCCACTGGGGTGACTAAGTGCGATCTGGAGGATGTAATTCCTAAGAGAGACAAATGACAGGTGAGCAGCCACTACTGGCCAGAGCAAGGCATCCTATGAGACTCCGTAAGTTAAAAAAAATTATTACCAAAACAAAACAAAAAAACACAACCTTGGCAGTGGGGTGGGGGAGGGCGCCTGGGTGGCTCAGTTGGTTGAGAGTCTGACTCGGTTTCAGCTCAGGTCATTATCTCAGGGTCGTGGTATCAAGCCCTACGTTGGGCTTTGCACTCAGCATGGAGTCTGCTTGGGATTCTCTCCCTTTCCTTCTGCCCCTTGCCCCACTCATGCTCTCTCTGTCTGTCTAAAATGAATAAATAAAATCTTTACAAAAAATTTTTTTAAACCTTGAAGGACGGTTTTGGAGGAACTGCCCAAAGATACCCGTAAGTAGTGACTACGTGAGTACCTGTAACTCCTGGTACAATTAAGCTCCAGAAAATGTCCCCTAGAGAAAGGGAGCAGAACCTTAGGCATAGCAGTGCCATCATTCTGGACAGATTCACCAGGCCCCCAAAAGGAGCACGACTAGGGGATCCATTGGGCAAACCACACCTCATGCCTCTCAACCCTTCACTGCAAGGCTTCAGGACTGGCTCGCTAGGAGATGAGAACACTCCATACAGCGCAAACCAGGCACCCACAGCCGCTACTCCAGGAAACCTGTCAAGGAAGCAGCGCCTATGACCTGCCCATGGGAAGGACAGAGCAGACCCTGGAGAAAAAGAAAAAGCAGATGGGATTGGCATGCAGACTTTACCCAGTGAGGCTAAAAGTGCAAAGTTCTCCAGCATCACATCCTAATATAAAAGTCTCTGAGAATCATCAAGGAGCATCCATTCTTCCCGGGAGAAGGACACAAAAATGTCCTCAGAGATCACACAGACCTGCAATGACATGGCCAGCATGGTCCAGGAAGTCTCTTGACTGAGTATCCCCACTCTGTCTACCCACAACAACGTCATGCTCACTCTCTTCCCCACGTGCCAGCCAATCCCCCGGGGGGACCCTAAATCATGCCAGGACATAAGCCCGGCTCCCTGTTCTCACGGAAGTCCCTGGGAACAGGGCTGCAGGACCATCAGTTCCCACTCCTATTGTGCACATCACTTCTCAGACTACACCTCTCACGCAGCTTCTGTTACCCACCACGACTCTTCTCCCCCATACCACAGACAGCACACCAGACTCCTCACATGTCGCTCTGCACACAGCGTGGAGAGAATGCTTGGCAATACCAAGCATTTAACTGGGATCCCATCCTGCCCCAAACCTCCAGTGGTCCCAACTGCCAAAGGAAAGCCCCCAGTCCTGCTTGAAGACCTCCCGATCTGGACCTTCTCTTCAGTCTCAGGCACCCAGGACTACACGCATATTTCAGGTACCCTCAGCCTTCTTCCAGTTCTCCACTTCACACTCATAGTTTGCTGTAGCTGCTGTGACAAATCATTACCAGCTCTGCAGCATACATGAACAAAAATTTTTCTTCTTACAGTTGTAAAGATTATAAATCCAAAATGGGATTCACCAGGATAAGATCAAGATGTCATCAGGATCGTGTTCCTTCTGGCAGTTCTACAAAAAAAAAAAATCTTTCTTTATCTTTCCCGATTTCTCAAGACCTTCTGCATTCCTTGACTCCCTGCCCCTTCTTCAACTTCAAAGCCAGCAATTATTATCACTCTGATGTGTTTACTTCCTGAAATCTTCTCTGACTCTATCCTCCTGCAAATACACTGGGCCCAGTGGTAATCTCTTCGTGTTGTTAATATACTTAATCACACACATAAAATCCCTTTTGCCACATGGGGTAACACAGCCAGAGGTTCAAGGGATTAGACCATGGATGGCTGGGGTGCCTGGGTGGCTCAGTGGGTTAAAGCCTCTACCTTCTGCCCAGGTCATGATATCAGGGTCCTAGGATCGAGTCCCGCATCTGGCTCTCTCCGCTCAGCGGAGAGCCTGCTTCCCCCCTCCCTCTGTCGACTCTCTGCCTACTTGTGATCTTTCTCTGCTGCATACATAAATAAAATCTTTTAAAAAAATGTAAACTAATGTTAAAAAAAAAAAAGAACATGGATGGTGTGGGAAGCCATTATTTTATCTATTATACACATGCTGTGCCCTCACAGTCTGACCTTCCTATCCCCACCTAATCCTCTGAACATCCATTTGACAACTGATGTCGCCCGTTCGGTTGCCCGCCGCGGCATGTTCACAACTATGAGTCTTCTCTGCCTCCCCCCCACCTCCCACAACGCACTTTGGTAAACAAAACAGGCCCGAGTAAAGTAACAGAAAACACAACCTGTTCTGCCCCCTTCGTAGCAATCACTCTGACACAGCTCATCAATACTCATTGGAACTACAGGCCTAGTCTCCTTGGATCTCCTGCGGTGTGACCACATATAAATATAGCATTCTTCCAGTTATAAAATAAGCCATGGGGTGAAAAGTATAAGAAATACAGTCAATAATATTGTAATAATTTTGTACAGTGACTACACTTATCTTGCTGAGCATTCATAACGTATTTAACTATTAAATCACTACTGTGAAAATTAACAAGGGAAACCTCACTAAAATGGACTTGGGAGGTGCGGGAAGGGGGTGCCTGACCACTCAGCGGCATCTGCAAACACAAGAGGAGACAGACCTCGCACATGGAAACCGCTATCCTATCCCATAAGGGAGAAAGGCTTTCCTCAACCTCGTCCCAACAGCCCAGCCAATGAGAGAGCATCACAGTTCTCAGCCCAACCAATGTGAGAGGATCACACTCTCAGCCCACCCAATGAGAGAGGAGCACAGCTCTCAGCCCAGCCAATGGGAAGCAACTATCCTTCAAACTCCCAGATTACTTCAGCGGCCTTTTTGTAAGAACCTTCCCAGCTTCCCCCTTTCCCCTAAGAAGCGGATTGCTCTCCTCTGTTTGGGAGACTTGCAGATGGTTTTGCCATAGTGTGCCTGACTCGCAGTTCTCCTGCCAGTCCCAAATAAACCCATCTCCTGCTGACAAAATAACTGGCAGTTTTATTTTTACGGTTAACACTATACTGTACACCTGAAACTAATACGTAACTGTACTTCGACTAAGATTATTAAAATAAATAAAAATAAAGTGTTTTTTTTTAAACGAATAAATACAAACATAACACACACCTCTGCAACAACCAGCAGAAGCCAAACCACAAGCACTGCAGCAACTGACCCGGAGCGACAAGAGCCAGTAGAAAGCGCCATCTTCCCGAACTTCTGTGCCTGCTTCTCATCTGGGCCAGTCAGCTTTCCCACCGCCTTGCCTGCCTCTAAGTCTCAGCCAAAGTGATGGTGCCAGCAAGCTCTAAATCAATAGCCTTTGCTTGTTCCCCGCTGGGTGGGCTTCTTTTATTTCCACCCCGCTGCCACCAGCACCCCAGCCCTCCACCATCTTCCGCAGTCTGCAGCAGGGGAGCCTGCTGAGCCCGCTCCAAGCTCCGCATGGCTCCCGCCACCCTCAGAACAGAGGCTGAGCTCACCCTTTTGGCTTCGATCCTGGCCCTCTGCTGTCTCCACCCGAAAGGAATGAGACCTGTGGTGTGTTGAACACAGCTCAGCCTCACCTCCAAGCGCCTCGACCTGCCTACGATGGGTTTATCTCTCTGGGTCCTGTTGGGGAATCTCTCCACGTAACTGCTTGTTTGGATTGAGTCCATGTCCTCAGGGCCCACAGACTTAATTCCGTGGACGGAATGAAGGAAGACGAATCCCATCTGGAGGAAGGTGAGCACACAGCCATGAGCTCAGTCCTTCCTGGAGCCTGTGGATAAAACAGGAGCAGCAGCACAATGGCTGGAGTTGGAGATGCTAGTGCTCCCCGTGGTCACTCTACACCCCTAGCAACCAACATACCACATGGGGCTCTAATAATCTTACAGCACAGGGGCAAGAAAAGCGGTAGCCAGAATAGCCACCATGATGGCTGCCATTTGGGCTTGGACCTTGTCGTGGTGTCCAAGGTGTGTGAAGACCTCCGCTTGTGGTGCAAGTGAACTGCTCTGTCTTCCTTGTCTCTTTCATTGTCTCCTCTGGGATGGGGGTGGGGCTCCGGAGTTTTGTGATTCTCCTCTGGAACCAGGTCACACTCACTGGCTTCACCCTGATGTTCTAAGGCAAGTTTGCCACCTCCTTCCCTGTCTTTCTGAATGCCATCAGTGGTCTTCACATCACAGCATCCCCCATCCCTGGGCCCAACCCAGGAAACTTCAGGACCCCCTCCTAAATCTGAGGACATTAGGCTCTACAAGAAAGTGTGTTCAAGACAGGACTTTTCCAGCATGTGACCTCTGGTGGGGGCTGGGGTGGGACAATGACCTTGACACTGCTGCCTCTTAACCACTAACCTTTGTGTGCTTGGCCAGCATCAGCCCAGTGGCCTTATGCAGCTGACTTGTAGGGCCAGGGCCAGGAAGGGTGCCTCTGTGCCACCAGCTGCATAGGCTTAGCCAAGTTACTAGGATGTTGATTTTAGAAGAAGCAACACATTTTAAAATCCTTTTTTTGAATCCTTCTTCCCAGGATGGGAAAAGATGAAAGCAGCTTGGATAACTGTGCCCAGGCTGGCAGCACAACTAAGTGCAGTTCACACCTGTTTTACTGACTGTGTGTCGGGATAGAGGCTGTAGAGTCCCCTGGGTCTCCTGGGGTTGCCCGAAGGGGATCATTCTCGCAGCTAAGCATATCCAATCGGTGCCCATGACTTTCCTCCACAGCTCAAAGGGTCTCTGTGCACCTTTCTGTGCTATAGCTTTGGTCATGTTAGAGAGGCAGAATTTAGGATTCCCTTGATTTCCTGCACAAGGTTTCACACCATTTGACTTAATCTGAACCCTGCCCTCTGGTGGGGGGGGGATGCTTCATGATCTCTGACTAACCGTAGTTTCCCAGCAGTCAGCTGTCCCCTCTGCCTGTGGGAAGCCTGCCTTAACTCTCTGAGCAAATCTCCCAGGTTGGCCCACCTGCCTCCCAATACACAGTCCTCTCTGAAAACAAACCAACAAAACAAAACAACAGAGCCACCACGAAGATGACTCCAGAAGTTCTGCTGTGACTGAAGCACAGACAGAAAAAGACCCCTTCTCCTGGGCCATCACTGGCGGGAAGTTGCCACCTCACAAAGCAGAGCCTTCTGGGTATTGTAGTAACCACCACTCCGAGGGGCTCAGGAAGAAAGCCAGGGTCATCAGCAGGTGGAAGTCGAAGGTACCATTTACTGAAAGCCTAAGGTATGCTGAGCCTGCCAGTTGCTCCCAAGCCATATTTTGTACTCCACACCTCCTTTTCAAGTCTCCAGCAGGTGGACCATGTCCTAAGCCATGAATGAACTGTCTCTGGCTATTTCAGAGGTTCAGGATTTGTGTATCCCAGCCTCAGCCCTCCTAATCTTTTTAAAATATTTATTTATTTGAGAAAGAGAAAAAAGAGAGAGAGAGAATCCACAAGTAGATTGCCCACTGAGTGTGGAGCCCAACCTGGAGCTCAATCCCAGGACCCTGAGATCATGACCTGAGCGAAAACCAAGAGTCAGACACTTACCCGACTGAGCCACCCAGGTGCGCCTCACCCCTCCTAATTTGGGACATGAGGTAAACAGTTTCACCTTGTGATACAAAATAAAAAATGAAGACAAAACTTCCCTGGCAGACCTCTGTGATGATATTTACATGTTCCTCAGACGTAATGCTACATTCTTTAAAATGACAAGAAAAAATAGTACCTACATCTCGGTGATGTTATATATAAACGAACCTCATCACCACAAAACAGGGCTCTCACGCACCCATGCGGTGGAAATGAATCCAGATTGCCTACCTGCAGAGTTAAAGACAGTATCTATCAAAACTCATACCCATACCCAGATTAACAAGTAGCCTTAACAGGAATGGTTAAAAATTTTACAGGATGGCATAGTGTGTACAATCTGTGACATTTAAAATTATTCCAGGAGAAAAGTTATCAAACATACAGAACGCTGTTATACATTTTGAGTAGCCCGCTGCACAAAGGTTATGTTTTTTTAAGCAAGGTAATTCAACATTTACAATTTAAGAAATATTTTTTCCTTTGGAATACATGGTAGCTAAAGAGGATGTCATTTCAAATTTTGTAGCACACTTCTTCTGTATCTTATGTTCAAATTCAGAAATGTTGAACTTGAATTATAACCAATCACATGGTGTTTGGGTTCAAATTGGCAATGGAATCTGGCAGATGGCATCTGACTTCAGGGCCTGAGCTCCAGAGGGAAGCTAACTGGGTTTGCAGCAAGTAATCCCATTCCTGACTATGGTTCCTTGGACAGGAAGCCTCACCTCTCTAAGCCTCCATCTCCTCATCGCTGACATGGGGGAAACAATAGCATCTAAAACACAGGGTGGTTGGAGTTCTTGCCTGGGGAACTACATGCTATCTTCTGGTCATTCTCCCAACACCACTTGAAACCCTTCACATTGGAAGAAAGTAACTCCTGACCACCCACACCCTCTTAATCTGCACTAATGATTCAGAAGGTTCTGGGCGCTCGTCTCCGGTGGGAACCAGAAACTCACCCCCCAAACCTCTCCAACTGTCCTGAGGTAAACTGGGCCTCAGGTGGTCTCTAGTCAATGGATGCTCAGACTGAATTCCTGACCCACACTCACCAGGTTCCACGTCGAAGAGGTCCATATCCTTTAATACTGAAGACCCAAGGGAGTACTGTACACTTCCAGGGAGAAAAAGTGAAACCACCAAATTCTATGGAAAATACCACACCATTTATTTAGGACACCTTTAATTTCTCTCAGCAGAAGTGTTTGTAAGTTTCAACAAT